TATATCTTGAAACTAGGGTTGTGAAACTTAACATCTTGTTCAAGGCACCAACATAGGCTCGAACACTGGAGATTACAATATCCATACCGGCACCAGTCCCACTAGCAACAGAAAGAACACAGCAAAATATTTACAAAATTCAGTTCTCGTTTTTAATTACTTAAAAAGTTAGAAAGAAATGCAACCAATGAATGTTTTGACATGGAACTAGAGAGATTTATGTTTACTTTTATGCCTTGAGGGAAAATATGAAAGTGAGGAGATAAAACTTGTATACCTAAATGTACGATTTACAACGTTTCCAGTTAAAGCATGGGTTGATGTGTGGCTGTTATCCCCGCGAATCAAAACTCTGGTGCTGGCTATGGCATCAATACCTTCTGTAACTGCAGTCAAGGAATACTCGAGGAGCGTCACAGGTACCTACATATTGAGAGCAAATAATTTAAAATAAGAAGGAAGAGAAAGGTTTAAGATTCCATATATGGGTAATCTTTTTTTATTCGATTTATATTTTATACAGCACACGCACATCAGTTAATAGCTATATATTTATAGACACCAAGGAATAACCTTCCAGAACAAAACAGGGGATACATCATGCCTAGATGCCTCCAAACAATTAAACAGGTTTAAGCCAATCTAAGAAATCAGCTAAAGTACACCACTATCAGTAGGCTTTCCATGAATCCAAAATAAAAGGGAACGCTAAAAAAAAAACAAAAAAAAAAAAAAAAAGATCTTTAAAACTATTTAACTTTTCCATTTGTCCTTCAAAGTTCTGACTATTCCTTTCATTCCAAATCAACCACATCAAACAAATAGAGAGCTATCCAATATATCTCCTGCTTCTCTTATATTTCCACCTTTTGAGCTATCTTTAATCTTGTGATAGTAATTGTATGAAGATGAGATGGACTCTCCTTCAATGTGTTATAGTTTAGGTGTCAATAAGGAGATAGCATTAATAAAAAGAAATACTACATGGTGCCAACTCAATGAAACATAACTTGTAGATCATGGCAGTGCACCTGGACAGTCACTTTCGTGATTCAAGGGGATATTTTAACCCTACTGTTGTAACCTTTTTAGTTATCAGTTAGAAAGTGACAAGCTACAGTACAGGCAGATAGAGAAGAGAGTAGTAACCCAACTCACTAGGATTGTAGCAATTAAGAAAGACATGTTAGCTCAAGGATTCGTGATGGATTTAGTGTCTGATTGAATTGAAAGGAGAAATGAGCCCAGTTTTAATGAGCTTATTCACTGTAATAAGCACTTTTTTTGGTTCTTCACTGCATTTGGATATGCCTATGAAAAAGAGCATATGACTGTTCTTTTAGAAGAAAATAAAATTTTGTTAAGAAAAATTAAGTGGCAAGGTAAGGAATTTCCCCCTTATCAGATAAAAGATGAAATCTAAAGCCATCATGAAGAGCAGAAAAACTATCAAAGAGAGGAGAATGAGAAGAAAAGCTAAAGTAGCTAACATTATAGTCCATAAGCTTATCATAAAAAGAGAAACAGCTTTTCAAATGCCAATTAAAAAGGCAAAATCTCGTAGCTATACTGAGCTTATTGAAAAGTAAAATATTTTAAGCTGTTTATCCTAATTGGGCCATAAAATCCATGTGGCCTAATTAACTATACTGGGTTCAGCCTTGTTTGAGTCAGAGTGATTAAAATACAATGTAATATCCATCTCTTTTATTTGCTGCTCCATAAGAAAATTGGACCATAGAATATTGCCCTGTGGTCCTTGTGGATATTAGATCATCAGTAGTTTGCGGTTAGAATGGTTAGAAACATCTATCACTACGCTTCAGAGCAAAGAAGCAGACAAAACTACTTTGTTCTTGCATCTTTTTAAATCTGAAAAACAATTCTAGGTCCTAGAGATCATTGTTATAATGAAAATACCAGGAGTCCAGTTCAAACCTTTACGAGGAGATCAACTGCCTTATAAGCTGCATCAACGGGCCCTGTTCCAACAGAACAAGCAACATGTTCTTCATCGTCGGCATCAATGAGCTTAACAGTTGCAGTAGAAAGGCCAAGTGAGCCACATGTCACCTGTACATTGGGGATTACATGCTTTTAATTGACTGAACATCCTTACTCAATTACGAAAGTTATAACATAAGCGTAGACCATATGAACCTGTAAATCTCCAAGTTTCCAAACAAGCTGTGGCTGGAAAACTTCATCTGATATGAGCGCAATTAGGTCATCATCTGTAATTTTCTGAAAAAAAAAAAAAAAATTAGAAATTTAGAATCTAGCAGATGGATAGAAACAGCTATACAGTATCAAGGTCAAATAAACATCAAATAATTGCCACTATAAACTGCCTCAGCTATTTACTGACTAAATATTTGCCAAAACCTTAATTAAAATTTAGGAATAAACACACAAATAAAGAAAATTTGTGTGTTTACCTTAGTTATCCAATTTTCCATTCTCGATTTTCTGTTCTTTAGTTTTCCATTCTTTGTTTTTTGTTTTCCAGTTTAGGAAACATATTTACCATCACCCATTGTCCATATTCTTTTTTTTTTTTAATAATTAGAACTTTATTAATAACGAAAAATGAGGTTCTACTAAAAAGCAAGGACATACCCTCAGCCTTGCAGACCAAGGAGACAGACCCCCTTGAACAAATTGTCCACATTCATTTTCCAAATTAAATTTGTGGACTATAAAGTTATAAAAATAAATCACAAATTCAAAAAATCTGAGTAGTGGTCTTTTACCCAATATTGAAAATATTTTCAGACATGTTAAAACATTCACCCAAAATTTAAAATTTGATTCAAATTTTAAGTTCCAATTCGGATAATATGAAAAATGCCTAACCCTAAATACAAATAGGTAGGTTATGTTGGGATAAATAAATGGGAATAGAGATGAATAGATGATAGATGATTGTGGTAAAATAAGAGAAGATGGTAATGAATGTAGTCATAATGGTTGATAGATAGGCAAGTAGATAAGGATGAGAGTGAGGTAGGTAGGTGGTACTAGTGGTAAGAGTAAATAGATTAGTATGTAGATTGTAGGGGTAGAATGGTAAATAGATAGGTAAACTAGAAGTTTGTAGGTAATCTTAGGGTCCGTTTGGAAACCTTAAAAATGTTTCCCAAAAAATTACTCATTTTCCAGAAAATAATTTAATCTTCTAATGTTTGACTGAAGTTCAGAAAATTATCTTTTTATGTTTGGCTAAAAGTTAAGAAATTGCATTTTTTCTGTTTGGTTCATTTTAATTATTTGTTATATAATATAATAATAATAATAATAATAATAATAATAAATGGTGGCGGTGGTTGTTGTGGTGGTGGTGATGTGATGGTGAAGGTAGTGGTGGTGGTGATGGTAGTGGTGTGGTGGTGGTGGTGGTGTAGTTGTGATGGTGTGGTGGTGGTAATAATATTTTGGAAACTAGAAAAGAGATGAGAGCGAAGATAAATACAGAAAAATAAAGAATACAAAAAATGTCTTTCGACTAAAAATCTAGGAAGACATTTTCCCCAAATTGGGCCTTTTTCCGTTGACCAAAATGAATATTTTTCGTTTACTTTATTTTCCTTGAATACCCAAACACAGGAAAATCCGAAAATGACTTCGGAAAGTCATTTTCTGAATTTCCAAATGGGCCCTTAATGGTGATTATAGGCGAAATTATGCATGTTTTGTATTTGGAAAACAAGAAAAAGTGTTTCCCAAATTCCTCAGTTATGCAGGAAAATGGAAAACTGTTTTTCAAATGGAGATTAATCTTCCATTTTCCAAAATAGAAAATTGTGCAAATAATCATGTTTTTTGTTTTTTTTTTCTCAAAATTTCCATTTTTTAGACAAATGAAAAATGTAAACGCACCCTAAAAGTAAAAGAAAGAGAGAGGCAAAAAAGCAGAAAAAGAAAAACAACCTAGACTGGCTAAGACTAAACTCCATATTAAAGGGCAACCCCGGCTCCCTACTGAGATTAAGTCAATCAATTACCTGGGAGAATCACTAATAAGTATTTTCTTTTTCTAACATGTAATACATGTTCATGTAGTAAGAAGAATCCCAAACAAATAGAAGCCAGAGATGCACAGATAGTAAAGGAAGAAATTTTCATTGGAGCAAAAGTTATCAATAGTTCTAATTTACCTTTTTCTTTTCAGCCACAGATTTAAAACGCCAAAATAAGTCATCAAATTCCTTCCCATCAATGTCATAGCCAAGCTGCAAAACAATTAAAAAAGAGATATCTGATATCATATGGAATTTCAAGCAAGGAATTATATAATTTATATTAAAAGTATAGCATTTTACAACACATTAACATATATAAATGTATACACATGCATACAAATGTTTGGGTCGACAGTCGACACACATGCATATTAGTATATATGTATATTTGTATATCTATGCAAGTATATTTATGTGTATATATCTATACATATGTGTCTGTAGTTCTGTACATGTACTTGTAAACAAAGAGAGACAATTTACCTCCTGCATTTTGGTTTTCAAAGCATGGCGTCCACTGTGCAAACAAAAAGGAGGCAAATAATTACAGCATTCATAGTTATAGACATGTAAGTCAATGTCCATGATTTCTGAGTAACCATATCATATAAAGAAAAATTGTACCAAACAGTGTAATTTGAGGGGGGGGGGGGGGGGGGGGGGGGGAAATCTGAATAGTATACATGATTTAAAAATAATGGACCTGTACCAAACATCATCTCATGCTTGCTACTGATAGAAAGAACTTCTTCAAAAGCAAAAGGGGAAAATCATACATTAAATAGTATAAATATCAACACACTAATACCCCGACATAATGTGTCTTCTACCACCTAGGACAAAACCATTTGATGCGGAAATCAGAGAATACCTGAGTTTTCCAAGGACAATACCAGATTGATTAGCCCGATGAAGCCCAATATCTTCAGGAGACATTATCTCATAAGTATCTTTGTGTTTTAGCATTCCATCCTGCAAAGAATAAAGCAAGAATAAGAAGAGGAGATCCAGCATTTATTGCTAAGGAAATATTGAAAAGTAGTTTGAGCTGTAAAAGGAGTGAGGAAGAGTTTTGCATGGTTCATCCAGTTTAAATTGTTAGACACTTAGACTAAATTGTAGAAGCAGTAAAACATTCATAAGATTTCTCTTAGGGGGGCATTTAAGTTAATAGAACGTGAGATTACCCTAAAAGAATACCTTCTAAAAGATAATATGAGATTGCGAGAATGTAAGATTACCTTATATGCTTACCTAAATTTGTAACTTGTGGAATTGTAATATTAACCTCTTTGGTTAAGGATTACATTGCATAAATAAATATACACACCAATAAATAATCATATATGTGTGTGTGAGAAAGAGAGAGAGAGAGAGAGAGAGATTATTTAGTTATTTATTTATACATACACATGTGCGTGTGTATATATATATGCATGTTTATTAAAGGTCAAAGATGGAAAACCATACTACATAACCAAGGTAATCTTTTTTTGAATACTATTAACTCTATTACATGCAGTATCTATTGATAACTACTTTCTCAACCTACTGAAGCACAGAGAGTCAATAGCGCCTCCACTGAGGCTCGAACCCACAACCTCCCCATGTGGGAGTTCCACTTGGTGCCATTGGACTACAAGGTCCTTAACCAAGGTAATCTTAAAATACCTAAGGTGTTGAAGGTCATAATTTTACCTTGATATAACCTCAAACTCTGATGTGGCAGCATTCTCACATAACCTATATTATCTCATAACTTAAACTAAACAAGGTTATATAAGATAACTTTGCTCACAGCCTCACATTACCTTTGTTATCTTATATGACTTGAACAAAAGGCCACCTTAAGGATTAAGGAATACAGGCTTATTCATATCTTTACCTCTAGTTCTGTATATACTCTACGCATTTATGTATAGTATTTTTAAGTATTGCACCATCTAGCTTATTACTACTACTACAAAATTTGTTTTTGGGCTCCCCATTACGCATCCTCTAGATTGTTGCTTCTTGTTTTTGGGACGAAATGTTCTTAAATAAGTACTTTTGCTTCACACAAGTTTTTAACATTTTTACCCAACTTGAGAGCTATCTTTTCTGGGAGAAATGTTTGTTATATCTCATTCTTCCAATATTTCATCTGATAGCTTACCTGTTATTAATCATCAGATTGTTTTTCTCTTTCTGTCTTTATCTGAACTCCCTCAAAGAAGAGGAGTATTCCTTCATTTGGGAATACAGAAGATTCCAGTTTGGAGATGATTTGGGTTTTGAAAATACAAAAGGATGTATACTATGGAAATGAATCAAAGTCCTCCATAAAAGCCTCCAAGGGTTTTGCTGTTCAAGTCAAATAAGGCATATTGTACCAGTGGGGGGGAAGTCTAGAAAAGGCTACTGCATGCAGATAAGATGGAAAGATTTGAAATGCATGCTTAATTATTTTTCATAGGAATAGTGCTCTAGAAGGTTAATGTGGAACATATTTATTGTAAATGATCAAATTATAGCAATTGGTATATTGGTATATCATGCACTAAGACTCACATCACAATATGAGCCTCAATAAACATTTAAAATTTTAATAATACAATTCTTAACCCCTACTTTCTTTTGTAGTATTATTGTGTCCATCCATTCCCTATTTTTCTTTTGCATTCTGTGGTCAAGGAAAGCATGCTTATCACGTTTCTAGTATGGTCATAAACAACTATCCGTTACAACTACCTCATTTAATCCTCTCTAGTATGGTCATAAACAACTAAAACCTGAACTCTCTCCCATTTCTCATTTCTTATTTCTCATATATAAATGGGAGGACTTACAGCATTCATTAGTATGGAACCTTGTATATTTACTCTTCAACCTGCTGTGTTTTGAGCCTTAAATTTGTCATTCATTAGTCACTACTAACTTACTAAGAAGCTAGAACTTAAATTTTACCAATCTTTCAAAGCTTCATTCAACTTTATCCTCAAGCTTGTATTCGTCCTCCTAGCTTTCTAATTTCCTATATTGAGTTATTTGAGCTTACACTGTTATACACTTACACTTACACGTTGATAATCTATACTCAATCTATAATGCTCTCAACTCTACACTTATCCATCCTATGATTTGTACCAACTGTAATCAAGTTCTTTGTGTTCAAGGAAATAACTGTGATTTGTGCTATTGTCAATGGCTAAAGATACCCATCAATGAAGATGTGTTAGTTAAAGTAAATTGGCTACCAGAGATAGTCAGGTATACCCATCAACAAGGGCAACAAAGGCATGTTCATTGAAGTGATTTGGCTATAGTGGAAGCCAGTATAAAGTATAAACCACCAATGAGAGTGTGCTTGGTGAAGTTGATTGTGGCACACTGGCACTGGCACCCACCAACCCTGAAGAAAGCTGGAAGATAGTGGGTTATTAAATCCTAAGAAAGGGGTCCTTAAGTGGTAGATGTAGGCATTGCCAAACTATAAAATCACGATATCCACTTACCTTTGCTCTTTATCTTATTTGCTCGTGTGTTTGATTCATTATCTACAAATCTCTAATTTGAAAAGCTTATAAAGTGCAGGTCAAATAATTTATTCTCCTGGTGATTCAGGCACAAATTTCAATATACTAATTCACTCCCCTCTTAGGATAATTCAGAACAGTTTTTATACTGGGTACACACAAAAACATGTACATAGCATTAGCTTGAACATTTAGACAGGGTAAAAGGAAGCAAAAGGCTCAATGCATAATGTAATTGCATCATTTTATAGATCAGAGAATAAGATGGACCTGATGGATGCCACTCTCATGAGCAAAAGCATTAGCCCCAACAATGGCTTTGTGTGGCTGCACAAGCAAACCAGTATACTCTTCTACCTGGACATCAAATAATCATCAAGTGTAAAGCAAACACGAAATGAATCCAAACCAGAGAAGGTTCTTAAAATTTACTAGACATTAAATGCTCAATACCATTTTGCTAGCCATGATAATATGTTGTGTATTGATCCCAGTATAAAGGCCACCAAGTACTTGCTCTCCACGACATTTCAAGGCCATTACAACCTATGTCACAGAATACAACATAAATAGTTATAAAATAAAAGCAAGTCCAGAAGTTGTTATGAATAATCATTAAGAATAAGCACATATTCAAGATACAATTTAGGAGTTTCACCATCTTCAACGTCAGATGTAAATGCATAAAAGTATATGCATATATGCCGGAACCTGGTCACTAATGTTTTTGTCAGCAATTAAGGGTACAGTTATATTATATTATACGAAAATTCCATGGTGTTATGATGTACTTTGTGCTTGTTAAAGACTTAAAGGTAAAAGTTAAACTCTTCCCTTACAACATCACCAAGCATACAACATTATTATACATGACTCTGAAGAAAATCTCTTTTATATATATATATATATATATATATATATATATATATATATTTGATGAGTAGAGAGAATATATTCATCAAGGCACCAAGGGGGACCTTGCAAAACAAAGGATTTAAATCAAGCCTCCAAATAAATTATACAAGATTTAGCTCATTCTAAATCTGACCTATCTGTAACTCTTTTGCAAGCACTTCCTTAGTGCTTTCCTGAACAATATCATTACAACCAAGAAGAGAAAATATACATATACGCATGAATTGTAGTATAACAGCTTTATTCACCTACCTCCTCCAATGAAGCATTTCCTGCTCTTTCACCAATGCCATTTATTGTGACTTCTACCTGTCTTGCACCAGCATATGCTCCCTGGAAATAAGCTTCACTGTCAGAGAATTTTGAACTTCATGAACTTTTTTATGTAACATTAAATGAACCATACAGCTAATGTGTTAGCAGTAGAAAGCCCAAGATCATTCTGACAGTGTGTTGAAATGATGACGTTTTCAATTCCTGGGGTATTGGCTTTTATATCAGCGATCAGTTGTCCAAATTCGGTTGGAAGTGTATAGCCAACAGTATCAGGTATATTAAGGGTTGTTGCCCCAGCTTTGATAACTTCTCCCAGTATTTGATAAAGGAACTCCCTGTCAGATCTGAAAGGAATATAACAAGGAGAAGGTTGAATCATTAAAACAAACAATAGCTAACAGATTGAATACTGTTGATGAGGGTTATAACGTTTAAAGTGAATGAAGGTCCTACTTCCTAATGATGTTAGTTATCTGGGTACCAAGTAGAAGAAGCAGCACACCACTGTGAACTTTGTTTCTGAGTTTACATAAGATCAACAGTATCATATAAGATTAATTTCTAATTTCTTATGCTCATTATAAGTCCTCGAAAACCCAGACAAAAGGCAGCAATGACACTACCAATTTGTGGATCATTCTAAGTAATCAAGAAACAGGGGCCAAACTGTCTCTCTTTACCTAACAACCTACTTCATTACAGCTACTAATAACAGCAAAGGAATACTCACGTGTCTCAATAAAGAATAAAAAAATTAAAAGAGAACAAAAGAAACAAAGGAATATTAATATATTATTTAAAGCTCCCTAATATAAGCAATAAACAAACCCAAGTTCCGACGAAAATGCAAAACTGAGTTAAGAACTTCAAATCAAATGGAAATGAAAGCAGAAAATATAATAATGATGTAAAGTAAAAGGTAAAACACCTCCCGGCATCTTCAGGGCTAAATTCAACATCGGAACAGCCCAAGCTCCTGGCATAAGCGACCATACTGGTGGCCTTCTCCACCACTTGCTCCCTGCTCATGTTGAGCTTGAACTTCATGTGTATCTCACTGGTGGCGATGAATGTATGCACCCGAGGCTTCTTGGCATGCTTCACCGCCTCCCAAGCCCGATCAATATCCCTCTGATTGCACCTGGAAAGGCCGCATATGACCGGAACGTGTTCGCCCTCCCCATTCCCAACCTCCTGCGCAATCAATCTGACGGCCTCGAAATCGGCCTCCGAGGCAGCAGGGAACCCCGCCTCAATGATATCCACACCGAGCTTGGCCAGCTGCCGCGCGACGTCGAGCTTCTCTTTGGTGGTCATTGTGGCGCCGGGGGACTGCTCGCCGTCCCGGAGGGTGGTGTCGAAAACTCGCACATAGTTAGGGTCCGAGATTCTGTTCGGGATGTAATCCGGCCGCCTTGGAGCCCCCAATCCGCATCGTACCACGCCGGAGGCGTAGGAGAAGGAATTACTCGTTGCTGTGCTGCTGCTGCTGCTGCTGAGCGAGCAGTATCCCCGCTTCAGGAAACTACCGCAAGTAGCATTGTTAGTGCGAACGAGAGGGCATTTGCATTTGTGGCGCTGAAACACAGCGTGAGGGTTAGGGTTTGAGCAGAAAGACGCCATTGATGACCTTAGTGCTTGCTTGTCCGAGCTGTAATGAAGATAACAACGGGAGGAGAAAGGATAGACGTTACAATTTACAACGAGAGCTGACTGGGCAGCCACGACTCCAGGTCCAGGAGTTTGACTAATATTTTTTGAGTAAATATCTTTGAGTTTGGTGATTTCACCAATTTTAGTCTTAAATTTTTAAATTGATCACATTTGAATTTCAAATTCAATTTATTACAGCTCGTTTGGTTCGTTGAAAAATATTTGAAGGGAAATGGAATTGAAATTTCATGGAAAATAAATTTCAAGAAAACAGATTCTATTGTTTGATTGGTGGAAAAGAAATTACTGGGAATATGAATTCCATTATTTGGTTGAGTTTGGAAGGGTAAGGAATAATGAGTATAATGACAAATATAATTCTATTGTTTGGTTGGTGGAAAAGAAATTACTGGGAATATGAATTCCATTGTTTGGTTGAGTTTGGAAGGGTAAGGAATAATAAGTATAATGACAAATATAATTCTACACAATAATAATAATATAATAATAATAAGAGTAATTAATAAAGAATGGTGAGGGTAAAATTGTCATATTAGTTTTGTTGAAAGTGGTTTTATGAGATATCCTCATGAACACACTTTGTATGTCAAATGCACTGATTCTGGTGATATTGTTTTAATCTGTCTGTATGTTGATGATCTGGTTTTTACTGGAAACAACTTGAAGCTAATCTCAGAATTCAGGGAGGCACTCATTAAGAGGTTTGAAATGACCGATATGGGCCTTATGTCTTACTTTCTTGGCCTTGAGGTTATTCAAATGGATGGTGGAATCTTTATTTCACAGAAGAAGTATGCTGCTGATATTTTGAAAAAGTTCAAAATGAAAAACTCCAAACCAGTTTCGACTCCGTTAACTGAAAAGTTAAAGGTGTCCAAAGATGAGTGTGGTAAGAATGTGAATGTTACAGCTTATAAAAGTTTAATTGGAAGTCTGAGGTATCTGGTGGCAACAAGGCCAGATATTTCTTTTGGAGTTGGAATACTTAGCAGATTCATGGAGGAGCCAAAAGAATCACATTGGGCTGCAGCAAAGCGAATTCTGAGATATGTCAAAGGTACGAGTAATGATGGACTTTTTTACTCT